CGGGTTCCGGGGCTCGGGGCCGTTTCCCCGCCCGTGTGCCCCACCCGAGCCCCCCTCAAGCCGTTGCAGGGGTTAAACGTCCTCGGCGAGGTTCAGCAGCGGAGACTTGAGTTTGCCTCCCCTCTCAGCAGGGAAGGGTTTAATCCACGTTTCGTACGGAGGAGATCGTCACCTCCTGGGCTGGAGATTCTGCAGTTTGTTTGCTCTTCAGTTTCCTGAGTGCGGGTTCTGAGCAGTGCAGCTCATCCGGATTTATGTGCGTGTTTAATTCATCGCTTAGCCTCAGGCTGTCTCTGAGCCCTCTCAATGCCAGCACTGCTTGGAACACCAGGTGTCCTTCAGTTAAAACTTCGTGTGTGAGAGCACTGATGGCAAATTGTCTCCTTGTGCTGATTGAACAGAGCAATTTGTGGAGCCACAGAGACAGGATCCCAGCAGATTGGTTTTTGTTCTTACTCCTGTGAGGCACAGGTTGTCCAGAGAAGCTGTGGCTGCCACATCTCTGGAATTGTTTGAGGTTGGACAGGGCTTGGAGCAGCCTGGGGTTGTGGAAGGTCCCTGCCCATGGCAGGGGGTGGAACGGGACCATCTTTAAGGTCCTTTCCAACCCAAACCATTCTGTGATTTTCCCTACCATGAGCATAGTGCTGGTTCCTGTCTCTGTATTCAAGTCTGAGCCCAGTTTATTCCCTGTAGGAATCTTCTTTTGCCCCTGGAATTTAAATGTAAGGAGTGAGTGATGCAAATGCTTCTCTCCTCAGCCAGAGCTGCTGAATTACCTGCTCTGGCCCCATTTCATGTCTTTGGTCAGAAACTGTGATTTGTAGTGGATGAAAATGGGATCAGAGCATGCTGAGGAGCCTCGATGATTATTTTGAATATTTGAAAAATCTCTCAGGAGTTTAATTAGCAGCCAAGATAAGGGGTGGGTGAGGAAGGGAGCAGCAGGCCCTGTGAGGTGGTTTGTTGTCTGCATCTCCTGGTTACTGGGAGCTCTGGCTGAGGCTGCTTAAAGGAGAATCTCCTGCTGAGCTACAGCACATTCCAGGAGAATTCCCAAAGCTGTGCCACATAGATTAGCACTCTTGGTTTCCAGGAATATTCCTGCTGTTATAGCAACTTATGAGTTCTGTGCAGGATACTTCACTGTGCTGATCCACTGCATGAAATTCAATTAATAATAGAAATTAGGTCTTGTTTGAAATAACATTTGCTTATTTTTTTAATGTATTCCTTGTTATTGTAGCCACTGGTGTAGGGAAAAAGGGATTGCAGGAGGTGGAGGCAGGGAGTGTGTGAAAGATGAGCTGGAAACTGAGACTCATTTTCTCAGCACTGTCCTGTCAGGCTGCTTTGCATACAGTGAAGGAAATGAGCTGATTACCTCAGAGAAGATTAGCTTCCAAAATAGAGTCATAATGGGCTCCAGCTGCCTCATAAGGAGAGAGTTTGGTGCTGAACTGGAAATAGTGCTGGGTTGGAGCAGCTGTCCCAGGGAAGCAGCAGTCACTCACTCACCCAAAGGTGCTGGGCTCCATGCCTGAAGCCCTGCCCAGGTGCAGAGTTGTGTTTGCCCTGCCAACTGCACACTCTGCAGTTAATTCCCTGGAGTTTGTTGTGCCAGGTGTTCTCTCCCGAGGGAATCTGCAGCCTTACATAACTTCCTGAGTAGGGAAAACAGATCTAGTATTTCCATCTAATAGCTAATAAAAAGAAACCCATCTAATACCAAGTACAGTTTAGAAAAGTAATAAATGGGATTTATTGTTCTAGGACCGATTTTCATGCACTGAAGTAAGCAGTAACATTATACTTGAATGTTTAATGTCAGGTTAATACATATTAGACAAAATTCTGTTACTGCAGAGTGCTGAAGAATAAATGTATAAATTGTTTGTCTCCATCCAGAATTAAATTTAAAAAATAATTTAGTGTTCAACACGTGGAGGGCACAGATTTGGTGTGCAAAGCCCTCACTTTCACCTCATCATTTCTATGCTATAACAAAAATCACATCCTTGTCATCAAAAGTATCTTTCCCCCCAAATAAAGGTCATGTTTGAAGTCAGTCATGGTTAAATTAGAGTGTCCTACACCTGCTGCCATCACATGAAATCCGTTTTTGGAGCAAGGATCTGGAGATCCTGCAGGTCCCCTGCAGAGACTGTGCCTTGTCCAGTACATCCCTGTTTGTCAGGGTGAGCTCCTCCTCTTGGCATTCTGGCTTGAGTTTCAGTCATTGGAACCATCAAGGTTTAATTCCTTGGAAACTTTGCCTTCCACATGGATTTTCTGTTCCCTTTCCATTAGGTTTTACCCTTTCCATTGGTTTTACCCTATTCCAGATCATACCAAAATTGGGGTGTTTCTTTTGAGCTTGACAGCATCAATTCTTTCTATTAATGACTCCCTAAAATCGGGAATTGGGAGCCTTTCCTTCTGTTCCTAAGGCTGCCATTCCCCAGTTTGTGTCTGATTTCCCTGTCCCTGGTACTAAGGAGCTCTTTGTGTGTGATAACCAAACCTCTCTGAGGTTTGGGATCTGCTGGAATTGTGCACGTTTTGGGGTGGTGCCCGTGTGATTCCCTGCCCTTGGCTCATGGCAGAGCTTTTTCCATCTGTTCTTCATCCTGGGCTGGCTGAGCTCCTTATCACCCCAGGGAAGTCTCTTCTGGGACGAATTTAGGTATAGCTTAAAGGGATATTTTTGTGTTAAAAAGTCTTATTTCAAAATGAATCCAACCTCGTGTTTGTATTTTTCACTTGAAAGTGAAAAAAAAGAAACATTAAGTGTGACTTTGGCACAAGATCAAAGCAGCCACGTGATGTGGGAACAGTTTTTTGTGGGGCTGGAGATAAGGGTGGGGAGCAGCAAAGCTGGGCAGGAGATAACTGGGCAGGGAGAAGTCAGGAGCAGCCTGGAGCTTTTCCTCCTGAGATGTCCCAGGAGAGGCTGTGCTGTCCTGGAGGGTGTGGGGAGTGCCAGGAGGAGTTGAGGGGAAGGAGGATGAGGTGTATTAAACCTAAATAAACATACCTGGGAAGTGACTGTTCACAGTCATAAAGTGGTTTTCAGTGGGGTAGCAAAGAGGAAGATGAGATGGAAGGAGGAAATGAAGCAGGGTAATTTGTGTGGGAAGTGTTCATTTTGTGTGGGAAGTGTTCATTTTGTGTGGGAAGTGTTCATTTTGTGTGGGAAGTGTTCATTTTGTGTGGGAAGTTCCTTTGCAGCCTGGCCCTCAGGCAGCACTGCTCATACCCTGCACTTCTGAAAAATTCCTGCTTTGCTCCTCTTTTGGCCTTAATTAGGAATATCAGGGCTTGTCCAACTTGGAGAGTTGGGGAAGTTGAGCAGTGTTTTCCTTGCAAGCCAAGCTTTGGGAATAAATGCCAGTGGAGTTCTGTACTAGTGGAAGAGGGGTGAAATAAGAGGGAAACAAAAAGCCAGTGGTAATCTCCTTCCTAAGCACAGGAAAGGGGTGTGGAAACAGGATTTGTGGAGAGAGAAGGCACAGGTGTAGCACTGGGTGACTGTAGGAGACAGAGCTGGCCTGAATTTAGAAGATAATGGGTATTTTTAGGCATGTGGGACAGGGAGAAGGAAAAGGAGGATGGGAACTGCCAGCAGGATAAATTTGAGGGATGGGGGGGGATCCAGTAGGACACGAGGAGTTCAGTGAATAGGGCTGTGCTAAGCTTTGGAAGATGAAGGGGGAAAATTTAAAATAAATTCCTTTAGTGTCAGGTGTTGGAGGTGGAAATAGTGAGAAATAAAATATGGGTCAGTTTATGGTTCTGGCAGGTATTAAACACAGGCTGGAGTGAAAGGTGGAGCCAAGGATGGATACTTGGGAAAAGATAAGGAAAAGGCACACTCAGGAGTGCAGCTGAGAAAAACAGATCTCAAAAACCCAACCTGAGATGGGAAGGGAAGAGAAAATCAAAGTTATTGGGAATGGGAGATTGCCCAGTTGGGTAATTCAGGTAAAAATTTTGGATTAAACCCCCCTATGGAATATTAAAAGAACAGAGTTTGACCTGTCCTGGAGGCGTTGTCCAGCAGCTGGAGTAACGCATCCCTCTCTGGCACGCAGGGATCCCTATGCCGCCCACCATGAGCACATGAGGCAGGTGATGAGGAGCTTCTCCGAGCCTTTTGGGCGGGATCCGTTCCCGAGCCTCCCGGAGGGAGGGGAGAGACCCGAGGAGAGGAGAGCGGGCGGCCGAGCCCCGCGGGACGCGCGGGTGGCCACGAGGGACAGCCGCAGGGTAAGTGGCCTGGGGCTGCTCGGGAGCGGGCAGTGCCGGGGAACAGCCTGGCTCTGCTCCGGAGCCTCCCCAGCTGCTCCCCCGGCGCTTCCTCTCCCGGTTCCTTGTGCTCTTCTGCTTCTGGGAAGGTGAACAGAAGCTTTAAGCAATGAGCCTGAACTGTAAGGGGCCTTCACACATTGCTTGAAGGGCTGCAAGGGGAACATTTTCCTACAGGTGTAACACACAGATGTTCAGAGATGTGTCATACAGGTCAAGGGAAGAAAGAGGGCTAAACCTATTTTTGGTTAAATTTAATTTAAGACTACATGGCATAAGTGAAGCATTTTCCTACAGGTGTAACACACAGATGTTCAGAGATGCGTCATACAGGTCAAGGGAAGAAAGAGGGCTAAACCTATTTTTGGTTAAATTTAATTTAAGACTACATGGCATAAGTGAAGCAGAAACCTCATGTATCCCTTAAGGAGATCTGACCACATTCATTAAGTCCTGATATTAAATAATGGTGCCAAATTTGCGATTATATTGAAACCAGTAAATTCAGTTCAGGGGAAAGAGTATACTTTATTTAAATAGACTTGGTGGGTTTTTTTTGTACATGTGAGGAAAAGACAAAATTCTTGTTGAAAATCTCTTCAGATTATGCTCTCATGGCACATTCCTTATCTCTGCTAAACATCTGTCAGGGTTTCACTGATCATTGAACAGACTATTTAATGAACCAATGGATCACTTATCCAGTGCTGGCTTCCATAAATATAATACATTAAATGTTTCTGGTAGAGAAAAGCACTTTACTCTCTTAGAGGAAAGTGTCCCACGTTCTCTGCACATGTATTTCCTTTTTATGTTACCTTGACTTACAAAGGTGCCTGGATGTGGTTGCACTATCCTTGGAAGTGTTCAAGGCCAGATTTTTCCAGGTCCCTTCCAGCCCAACCCATTCCATAATTCCATGATATATTTGTGCCTTCCCTGTGCACTTCAGTCCCTTGTGTGCAGCTATTTCAGTTTGATTTCCACAAGCCTGGATTTCACCACCTCAGGAATATCCATCCATGGATTTTAAACCCTGTTTCAGCTTTGCAGCTGGGAATAAAATAAACACTTCGTGCTCTGAATTTGGGCTGATTGTTACTATTCTCTCAGATACAAACCTGTAAGAATTAAAGCTCAGGGAAATTGGTGTGAAATTCAGTATTTCTGTGTGTTACCAAGTGAAACCGATGGTCTGTGTTTAATTGAAGTGGTTTTTTTCAGCTCTGGGCAGGCAGGGCCATCATATCTAACCCTTATCTAGAGCTGTATTTATAGAGGATAAATGTTGGGAGCTGGTTCCTTTCCCTGCAGATACTCAGCAGCTGCCTCCCAGTTGCTTTCATGTTTCCCACTGGATTTGCAGAGCCGGTTGAGAAAAGGCAGGTGACAGGGGCTGGTGGCCAGGCCTGGAGCAGAGCCTGTCACCTGCAGCTCCAGAGGGGAACTGGCACATTCCTGCCCCTGCTCACTCAGTTCCTGGCAAATATAGAAACTGCATCTCATTAGGGCATCAGCTTCCCTCTGCTGATCCCTGGGCCTTGCATCAGTGGTGCCTAAAGCCAGATCAGAGCTTTTCCTTTAGAGAAGGAACCTGTAAAGCTCAGGGGTTGTGTCCCAGTTCTGCAGAGGGACAAATGTGAGGCCCAAACCCTTGATCTGCAGCAAAAGTTACAGGAGCTCCGTGGCAAAAGTTACAGGTACAGGAGCTCCGTGGCAAAAGAATTCCACAGCTGTCAACCCCTTCCCAGGATCTTCTGGTGTTCCTCCTGTTGCACTGAAGAGCTGTCAGATGTCACACCAGGCTCAGCGCTGATTGCTTTGCCTTGTCATCTCCAACTGCTGCTCCACCAAGGACTGAAACCTTTAAAATTACATTTTTATGTAGGAAAAGGTGGAGCTTTGCTACCATGTCAAAATACATTCAGATTACTGATGCTGATTAGTAGTGTTGCAATTCTGTGTTTAATTAAATTGCAGCAGGCCTAAAACTGCTTTAAAAGGAACCAAAATAGTTGGGACTACTCAATGAGTGCCACTGTAGGATTCAAATTTAAAACTGCTTTTCCTTTCTCCAGCAGGCTAGTAGTTTAGTTTTTAGGGAAGGAGGAAAGAGCTGAAACATATTAAGAGATGCTGTTAGTTGGATTTTTTTGGGATATCTGATGATCCTGTATACCAGACAAATGTTTAACAGATTATAGTGGCTTTTTAGTGTTACAAAACACAGTTTGTAATCTTTGTATGCCTAATAACTCTTACTGGTGAGGACTTGATATTGAGAGAAAAAATACATATTGTTATTTACATCTCTGCCTAATCTGTCCTGACAGAAATCTGAAGAGTTCCTAAAGCTAGTCCAGAATTGGAGAATTCCTTCTTTTTCCATTAAGGTTCCTGCCAGGGGCTTGATCCTCTGGCACTCCCTGTGTCTGCAGGCCTTATCTGACTCTGCAGTCTGGGTTTCCTGGAAACACCCCAGAGTTTCCTAGGATCTCGCTGCCCTGCCTTGCAGGAATCCTCAACATGGGATGATTTGTGGGATGATTTGTTGATTTTAATCAGCTTTCAGTGCTGCCTGACTGGAATAGAGCATTGCAGGGTGGGGCCTGAAGTGTGAAATCAGCACAAAGGGTTCTTGAAGGTTCAGATGTTTGCCAACCTCTAAGTGCTTTTCACACACTCCTATCAGTGTTTATTAGATGTGGTGGCAGTTAGCACTTTCTAATATCATCAGTAGAAATATATTATTTCCACATACCCAGGGATTAATTAATTACCAAGGCCCTCCTGAGTGACTTTGATTAGATGGGAAATGTTTCATGTAATCTGCTGCATATAAAAGTAATTTCTGCTGTTCCTGATAATAATTCCAGATGTTGCTCGTTTTTTTTCCAGGTTACCAGCTTCTCCCTCATGCCCTTTGCAGGTTTTGGGAGAGGGGTTAGTATCCCTGGAGTAGCTCCTGTGTAAGCTGTGTGTAACCAAAGCATGGCAGAGGCTGAGCTCTGTGCTTGCATCCTGCTTTTGGTGCTGTTTGCAGTTTGGGAATAAGAAAATCCAAGGAAAAATCCTTCCTGGGGCATTAACCTCTGGAAGTGGATGGGATAATCCCTGGGAAAACTGCAAACTTTTGAGTGCTGGTGGAGAATGCTCCTGTGGGGGTGGCACAAACCCCCTGCTGCCAGTCGGGCAGAGCAGCCCCTGGAGATGGGATTGGGATGGTTTCCAGCTGTGGGTTGGGGTCTGGAGTATCCTGGGAAATATCCATCATCTCTCCATAGCTCTTGCCCAGAGGATTCCAAATTTCTTGTACTCAGAAAATAAGTTGAAGATTTTCTGTCCTTTAATTTTACTTCATTTTGGGCTTAAATGCAGCTTTAAGTTTGCAACACTGAACTGCCATAACTCTATAAATGAATTTATTGAAATTTAAACCCTGAAGGGTCATACAGGACTTTCAGAGCAGAAGCTGGTGAGGTTTATGAACACATTTCTGAAATAATTGGATATTTGAATATCCAAGGAACATTTTTGTTACATAAACTCATTTGGTGGCCAGTTTGACATCTGAGCGACAAATCTTCCACTTTCATCTTCCCAGTATTTCCATCTTAATCCAGCTCCCTCAATTGCCTTTTGAAAAGATGCATTTTGGCTTGTTTGTGTGTGAAGTGCAGTCTGAAAAGCTTTTTGAGTTAAAAATGCATGTGAAAACCAGCTCCAGGACTGGGAGAGTTGAGATTGTTTTAACTGGAGTCTTTTTTCCCTCCTTTTTTTTAGTGGGATGCAGATTTTGGGGATCCATTTTCTGCAATGGACAGGATGATGTCAAACATGAGGAACAGCATGCTTGAAATGCACAGGAAATTTGTGAGTTCTTTTGGAAATCATTCTGAAATTTATCGCACTGGAGAGTGCCAGTTATTTCAAATATTCCTCAGAAAATCATGCCAAGAAAAATGGGACTAACCTTAAGGAGATAGTAAGAATTGAGGGGTTTTTGCCCAGATTACATTGTGTTTATAATTTTTCTTTATTCTTTGAAGATGAGACTGAAGTTTTATGTGGGGCCAGGAGGGTTAATTTTGTGAAGGGATATTTTCCATAATAAAATAATGAGTAACTCTTACCCAAATTTTAACCTCCATTCATGGGCCTGCCTTGCTCTGTAGGATGACCTGTCCATCCAGCCTGAGGGACACAGTTTCAGCTCCTCCTCCGTGATGACCTATTCCAAAGTGGGGGATGAACCTCCCAAAGTTTTCCAAGCCTCGGCCCAGACCTGCACGGCTCCAGGAGGGGTGAGTGACGCTGGGATCCAGCACACAGGAGCTGCCACTGCCCAGGATTCAGGTGCAGCCACACCAAAGCAGTGTCTGCAGCTTCTTTTCCTGCAGACAGTTACTCCTGGAACTCACAGAATCCTGGCATCACTGAGGTTGGGTTGAGTCCTTGTCACCGAGTGCCACCTCCAGCCCTTCCTTGGGCACCCCAAACCTCCCTGGGAGCCCTTTCCATGGAGAAATTCCTGCTGATGTCCACCCAGACCCTCCCCTGGCCCAGCCTGAGCCATTCCCTCTCCTCCTGTCCCTGTTCCCTGGAGCAGAGCCTGACCTCCACCCCCTGCCCCGACTGCACAAAGAAAATTTAGGGATTGAGGAAAACACAGGGCTCTCAAACCCTGCTCTGTATTAAAGGTCTGATTTCCTCCCTGTAATTTTGTGCTTTAGGTACACTCCAAAATAAATTACAGTCCCACACAAGGCTGGGAAAACTGAGCACAGAGCAGCAATTTTCCGATGCCCTTTGCTGTAAGGAATCCTTTTCCTGCCCACTTATACTGCAGGGGAGGCATTGATTTATGCAAGCCCTGCCTTCAAAGCACCCCTTTGCCCAGACACTTACATAACCCTGAGCTGCAGCTCCCTTGCAGCTGTTGTGTCTAATCCTGCCGGGAACTGGGAGCGGGAATGGGAACCTGGCCCGGCCATGAAAGCCCAGCCAGGATCCCCGAGGGCCTGGGCAGGATTGGCTGGGAATGTGTCCCAGCTCCAGCACAGCCTTATCACAAGGCTTCTAATAATAGCCCCGGACACTGATAAGGGCCAGCCTGCCTTCCAAGCCAGTCAACACCACAGCCCAATAACTGGTTGTTCCTCACGCTGGGAATTTTGGCATCGGGTGCTGCTCTTTCTCTTGCCAAGGAGAGTGTTGGAAACTTGGCTCTGTAGCATTTTTAAACTGAGGGGTTTTTCCCCAGTAATTAATACCAAATTAAAAACCTTGAGGTGTTGTTTCATCTTCTTCTCTGATGGCCAAAGGGAAATAGGCTTGATTTGTGTTTGCAGCCAACACAGGAAATTAGAGAATTGGAAAAGCATGGAAAACCTGACTTTTTGAAGGGAAGATGTAAAACTATTGGAGGAGGAATTAACCCTTTGCATGGGCCTGGAGTAACAGGACAAGGGGGAATGGCTTCCCACTGCAGAGAGCAGGGTTGGATGGGACACTGGAAGGGAATTCTTCCCGGGAAGCTGTGGCTGCCCCTGGATCCCTGGCAGTGCCCAAGGCCAGGCTGGACATTGGGGCTTGGAGCAGTCTGGGACTGTGGGAGGTGTTCCTGCCGTGGCAGGGGTGGCACTGGGCAGGCTTTAAGTCCTTCCAACCCAACCTGTGCTGGGATTCTGTGGACCCTTTTACCTCATTTGTAGTGGGAAGGACGCTCAGTTCCCTTTTATTTTAACAGGTTAAGGAAACAAGAAAAGCACTGAAGGATTCTGAAAGTGGCGTGGAGAAAATATCTGTTGGTCACCACATCCAGGATCGGGCTCATGTCATCAAAAAATCCAAGAACTCCAAGACTGGGGATGAGGAGCTGAATCAAGAATTCATCAACCTGGATGAATGTAGGTGTTTTTAGGCAGCTAATGGGCTTTACACTGTTTCACACTCTGATTTGGAAGTTGCAGCTTGAGATATCTTAAAAGGCACTTTTACACTGAGAGTCTCCAAATCCAAATTCTCTTTTACAGATCCCCAAAAACAGTTGCAGGTCATGTGGAGAATTGTAGACTACAAAGTTAAAAATCACTGCCCAAACCCCCTAATACTCATTCAATGTTTTTTTCCTCTCTTTATTAACATTTCGAATAAATGTATCTGTTTTCCAGCTGAGGCTGACACCTTTAATGAGGAGTGGCAGAAGGAGGTCATGAAGTTCAGGCCTTGCCGAAGCAGAGAAGCTGTGCAAGCTTCAAGATCCAGAAGTGGCCATTACAACCACAGGGAAAGTGGAGCAAGAAGGTAAAAATAGTTCCCTGCTATCCTACAGGATAAGGAAATTCCAGCGGCAGAAGGAAAATCCGGTTCTGGAGCAATATTCCAAGGGGAACTGCAGGTTTATTCCTCCTTTCTTCATGGAGGTTGTGACCATTGTTGTTCTTTTTCCAGAGGGAAGCTACTTGGAGCTCCAGGATCCAGAGTGCCCAGGGATTCCTTGGAGGCTCTGAGTGTGAAAGGAACGCCCGTCCCCCTGAAGGGCTCCAGGAAATAACCGTCCCCCCTCCCTGGGGATGGAGCTTCCCTGGAGCAGATGATGGTGCTCAGTGCTCGTGTCCGTAAAAATACACCTGGATTTGTGACCAATCTCTGCTCTGTGTTGTGCCTTTGCTCCTCCTGCTTCTCAGTGAATCCAAACCCAGCAACTTTCTGCCTAAAAGCACTTTATGGAACATCCCTAAGCCTGGTAAAACCAGCTTGGATTTGCAGAGCTGTTCTGCTCTGGCTGCACCAATCTCGGGCTTTACGAAGCCTGGTGCTGCAGCTCCTCCTTCCCACTCTGAGTTGCACAGAAAGCAAATTTCCTTTAGTTTGGGTTGCTGAATTACTGATTTTCTAGGTTAATTAACAGAACTTGAATACACTGGAAAGCACTATTATCTATACCTTTCAAATAATATTATAAATTGTTACAGAATTTCCTTTCGTTTGGGTTGCTGAAAGAATTACTGATTTTCTAGGTTAATTAACAGAATTTGAATATACTGGAAAGCACTATTATCTACACCTTTAAAATCATATTATAAATTGTTACAGAACCCCCACACTCACTTTGGTGTAACATAAAATGAGAGGAAATACTGAAATATGACAAGACTTTACATTTATCAGAGTTTTTATGTTAATAAGCTGTGCTTGCACCTCATTTCCTGTGCCTGAACTGTCAACTTTGTATTCCTGATCCTTTGTTTGTTTTCTGTGGAGTTAGCCCATCATTTTCCATTTTAAGGATTGTTATCTGTAGTATTTAATTCCTTTAATTACCCTGTAGTAATAACAGTGTCCTGAGATCAGCTGCAACTAGGAGTTACTCATAGGAAAAATACGTGGGAGAAATGAGTTTAACTGGAATGATTTCACCATTTCTTATGTTCTAAAGAGCCCTGGATACAGGAACCCCTCTCCTTTCTGTGTTCTTTTTGTTTTACCGAGGGTAGAATGACCCTAAATTACATTTGATAGGAGTTCAGAAGAGCCAGCAGTGTCTGAGAGCAGGAAAATCCTGGGATTCCAGGTGTTCGGTCCCTGTACTGCTCTACCACACAGAACTATCCCTGTGGTGTAGCAGAAAGAATTCCTGTAAATTGAAGGTAACATTAAATAATATAAATTATAACACTAAAGCATTACATAAATTCAAGGCTCCATTATAATGTAGCCATTAAAAGTACTGTTTGTATGATAAAATAGGGTTTAGTAAGTTAAGAGTAATATTTGTTTGGCCAAAAAGCCTCTAAATCTTACTTCATCTTCCTGCAGTTTCCCCAGATTATTTGATTTTAATTAATGTTTATTAATGTGCAAACCTAATCAGCAGCACTTCTGTTGAGCACTGAAAAGGGAAGGACAATTATTTATGGTCTCTTCCTGAATTAGAGAGGTATCAGTGGCAATAAACTGATGTGATCAATATTCATGGCAATAATTAAACCATTTAATGAGCAGTGGGGGTCAGGGGGGCTTGGACACCCCTTAAAGTCAGAGCTCAACCCAGGGGCTTGTTTTCCATCCACTGGAGACAATATGGATTCTGCAGGTAGCTAATTTATGAGATAATATTCTCAGTAATTAACAGCAGCAATGTTTTCTGTGTTGGAATTTGAGCAGGAATCTTGGAGAGTTGCTGCTGTTAAATCCTGATAACTCAGATTTTTTTTGTGAAATAAAACAAGCATATCCTGGGTTTGAAATGACAATGGGAAGAGGTGAATATTCCCTCCAGATCCCCTTTGCGACGCCAAGATGTTCTCCAATGTAAGGCACAAGTTGTGCTCTGTAAAAGCATCTGAAACTGCAATTCTTTAATAAAGTTATTTATTATTTATGGGGTTTGTTGGTTTATTCTGCACTGAAGAGGGACTTGTGCATTATTTAGTTTGGGCTGCTTTGAAATGATTCAGTGAAGGAAACCTGGGCTTTGGGAGGTGTCCCTGCCCAGGGAGGGGTGGAATGGGATGAGATTTAGCAGAACCACTCCGGGATCCTCTGGAAATCCTCAGATTCCAGAGGTGAGCATGCATTTTCCACAAAAAATAAAGTCTGATGGAACCAGAGAACGGAGAGGGCCTCAGAAATTCTGTTTCAGAGCAGCTCCTGGCACCTTTGCAGGTATGAAAGGCAGTTCCCGGGGAATAATTTTATATCAATGTATATTTAAAAATTATATAATTTTATATTTTAACAGCTAACGCGTGTTCCAAACGAGTCCCTGTGCGCCATCCCAGCCTTGTCTCGCCCTTTGCCGGCGCTTCAGCCCGCAGGGCCAGGGAGCGCCGCTCTCCGGTTTGATTCCTCCCGGCTCCCGGCTCCCGGGCCGCGGCTCGGCCGAGATCCGCCCCTTTCGGGCCGCAGCGGAGAATTCCGCGTGTGCCCAGCGGGAACCCCCGCGGCTGCCCGGCACGGCCGCGGGGATGGGCGCGGTGCGAGCCTCCCCTCTCCATGGCTCCCTGAGGGCCCGTGAGGCACTGAGAGCCTGCCCT